TCTATATATGATAGCTAACATTCAATTCGTGTGTATAAAAATCTGTTATCAATGTTATCACACTCTATCACAAATTTAGAGGTTCTACCAAATTTAAATTAACTTCAATGGGTAATATATTTCTTATTAAATGTTCATTTCTCCCTAGATAAAACTTTTAAAAATGTTTTTTATCAATTTTTTTTTTTTTTTAAATTATATATAAATATGAATAGACTCTAAAAAAAGAAAATAATAAATTCTTGTATAAGTCTGATAAACTTTTGCCAATAATAACAAAATATATTTATTAAAATAACAAATTTATTAATAAATTTGATAAATTAATAAATTCGTCTTATCGTTAATCAAACGTTTAAAACCATCATAAACTATTTATTTATTTATTTTAATTTAAATTCGACTGAATATTTAATAAATAAACGTTTTTTTTTTTTTTATAAATATTATACGAATTTTCTTTTTGTTTTGTCTTGACTAAACTTTATTATTATTATTACTGATTGATTGTTTGTTGTTTGTTAGTGTAATTAAAATCGTTTGTTTTAAAATTAAATTTTTTAAAAATTCTATTACTCGATGTTTTAAGTATATTGTTCGTTAATTTTTTTTTATGTAATTAATTGTTAGAATTTAAAAAAAAAAAATTATTGTCGTTGTTAATTATTTATAATAAATAAATAATTTATTATTAATAATTATGATGTTAATAATATTTAAAAAAATTATTTATAACCTGAATTGAAATTAAATTTTAAATTAATTTGTGACTAACGATTTTTTTTTTTTTGAAATAAAAATGGCGGACTTAAAGCAGTTACGTTTCATTGACCTACGTTAAGCTATATTTAATAAACTTGATAAAGTTTTATTTTTAATTTTAAAAATGAAAAATTTTAATAATAATAATAATAATAATGAATTGAGTAGTGAACGTTCATTTTACTAAATTTGTCTGACCAGTCATTTAAAATAAAATTATGTAAAAGGGTTATGATTTTAGGTTCGAAAATAAAACAAATGGAAACAAATAATAAAGTTTAAAGATTTCAAAATATGAATTGCAAATTTTCCTGTTGGATTTTAACACGCCAATCCTCAACACGATTTTTTTTTACCTGTTTGTTTTATATACCCCTAACCCCTCCACCCCCCGGGAAAAATAATTAAAAGAAAATTTTTTTTTTTTTGAAATTTATTTTCTTTTTGTTTAAATATATAAAATTAAATTTAAAATAATTTTTAAAAAAAATTTTTTCGTTTATGTCAACCGAGAAAAAGGAAAAAAGTCAGGTTTTTCATCAAAAAATTTAATTTTTCCACGACCTTGAAACGTGAAAATGTAAACAAAATAAAAATTTTCCGACTTGATTTTAACATCGTATAAATAATTCTTTATACAAAATCAACATTTTCCGATCGTATCTTTGAAAAAAATATCATTTAATACAAAATAATAATAATAATAATAAAATTTCGGGAAGGGAGGGGTGGGAGAGCGAGAAAGGGGGGAAATTAATCGTATTCGCACCGCAATTTTTTTTTTTTTTTCGAGGTAGGGAGGGAGGGAGGGAGGGCAAGAACCTGAGAAGTATAAAAAAAAAAACTTTTCGAATGCTTACTACACCTCCGTGTTTTTTTTAAACAAAAATAATAATTATTATTTTTTTTATTCGGAGAAACTTTTCTTTTTTACATAAAATCCAAGAGTTAACAATTATCAATTTTTTTTTTGGAAAATATGGTAATTTGGTTGAATTAGAAAAAGAAAAGAAAAAAAAAAAGAAAAAGGTAAGAATTATAGAAAATAAAAATAAAAAAAAGAAAGAAAGAAAAAGAAAAAAAAAAGGTTAATAGCCTGCGAAATGTTTTCCCTTCGGAATAATAAATTGGTCACCGCATGTGTGATTTTTGTTATATAAAAAAAAAAAATCATAATAATAATAATAATAATAATAATAATAATAATAATAATAATAATAATAATAATAATAATAATAATAATAATAATAATAGAATTTCAAGGGAAAAGAAATTAAATTTTCTTTCGTCCTCCCCCCCTCTTTCTTATGACCGTGAAAAATTTTGAAATTTCTTCTTTTTTGTTTTGCACTTTTCTTTTCTTTTAAATTTTGTAAAATTATTTAAGATTGTGCGTGTGTGCGTGTGTGCGTGTGCGTTTGTTTTCAAACGAATTTAATAATATTACACACACGCACACATGCACTATTCGACAGTTATTTATACGTAAATCAAATCGATATTCAATAATCAATAATAATTTTTGTTAATTAAATAAATTGTTTTTAACAAATCAATAATATTTCGATATTAATAATAATAATAATAATAATACAGAGATTTTCGTCCCTTTTTTTTTTTTAAGTTTAACGTAACGTATGACGATTTGGAAAAACAAAAAAAAAAAAAAAAAGAATAAAAAATAATAATAATAAATTTATAAATGTTATGACCCCCTAAATAACTAACCAAAGGCTAGTTTCACCTTAGAACCTTCAACTTTTTTTTTTTTTTTCTATAATGCGCAATCGTGAAAAAAAAAAATTCTTTTTAAATATTCAAAAAAAAAAAAAAAAAGGGAAAAAAAAAGTTTTTATTGATGTGAGTAAACACGAAAGGAGTTCGAAGTGGACGACGACGGTACAATTTTTTTTTTTTTTTTTTACATTTAAGTCAGTCATTTATTACCGATGGATGAATCTTTGAAAATTTTAAATAAATAAAATAATTTTCTTTTTTTTCGTCTGAAGAATAATTAATTATTTTCGAACGGTTTTTTTTTTTTTTTTGGACAAAAAGGACTTTATTTAAAAAAAAAATGGGTTGTGCAAGCAGTGCGGCATTACCTTTTCTAACAACAAAAGGAAATCAGAACGAAGGTTTGGAAACGACGAGCGTTAACGGTAAACAACACGCTTACGATTTGCAATCAATTAATAACGAATTAAATGAAAATGTTAAAAATGGTAGCGAATCTTACATATCGGAAAAAATAAAAGGAGTTGTCGATTCTTCGGCTGTTCAAGGAGTTATTGGTAATGTTGAAAAAACAAAAGAAGAAATTTACAGTCAGGTCAAAGGTGGGTCGAAAATTTTTCACTTTATTATTACCCTGCGAAAATTAACCGTAAGGTAAACATATTTATCGTGTGCTAAACCTTTTGTTTTTTTTTTTTTTTTTGACAAAAATTAAGGTTTAAAAGAGTATCAAGTAACGAAAAGTGTTTAAATTAACAAAAGTGATGAAATAAATTTAAAAAGTTAATTACAAGTTTAATTTTCGCGGGAAAACGTAATACATGTTACATTAAAATAATAATAATAATTATTATTATTATTATTTCAAAAGATTTATTTAACTTGAAAGAAATTTTTTTGCTTTTTTTTTTATTGCGACGTAAAGCGAGCGTTTGAAAACGCCTTCAAAAACATGTTTAGATTATTTTCCTTACACGGAGGAGTAATAAATAGTATAATTATAAAAAATAAAAATTTTTAGAGAAAGGAAAATTTTCTAAAAGTTCAAAAACAAAAAAAAAA